CCACTTCATCAAATAACTTCTTTTCTTTATTAGCTTGTCTGAAAACTTCTTTGGCGAGTGTTGTCTTTCCAACACCCCCCAATCCGTACACCCCAATCATGTTGGTATCAGGATTTTTCAGTTCCTCCATGATTTGCTTCAGCATTGAAGCCCTTGATTCAAAGGCCATGTATTCTTGAGAGGGTATGGCACATATATCTTCTACTGGAGCTTCGTAAGAAACACTGGGAAACTCTTTTTTTGCATGTAGTTCAATCTGTTTTGCCAATTTTGCTGATTTCCTGCTAAACTGATGATACGAAACCAGATTAGGACATATTCTATGGAAACACTTTGTCTTTGCTTGGCCTTCATTTCCCAAAATCTTTTCTGCCTCTGAAGTGATCCCATCTGCTTCTTGTCTCCAGTTCTGGACATCAGTTTCTACTCCTTTACCATTTCTTTCAACTTCATCAACCCTATGCTTCATCCGGTCTTTGGCAGCATCTAAGTTCTTCAATTGACTCCTCAGACTTTCTAGGTTGCTTTTGTAGTTAATTAGATAACCCACTTGTCGCCCATTGGTTCAACTGTATACTCGAATATTTTAAGAATAGTTCCAGTGAGGATCACCATGGTTCTTTTGTTTTGCTTTTGCAATGAGACTCTTGTATCTGTTGAATAAACGAACCCAAAAACAAGAAAATGAAAAAGAGTAAAAGAAAAAATATTAAACCAATTGAAATGAAAGAAGGAAACTACAGGGCATACCTTAGTTTGTGAGACTAAGCTTAAATAGAAGAACACAGAGTACTAGTATGCAACACTTCTTTTTCGTTTTTTCATTAAGCTGCTTCTGGAAACAACTGTAAAGTGAAAGTGTAATGAAGATAAGTGAAACAAAATGCACGACTCTCAAATCTCGAAACAAAAAGAATAGTTGGCCACAGTTTCCCTTTAATTTTTTGTTTTAGTAGTGTTTTAATTTCTGTAACTTTTTTAAATTTCTTTAATCGAAGGGACATATTTCTAAAGGAAAAAAATTAGTAGGATTTAATTCTGAAATATTTATTAATTAGGTTCAAATAAAGCTACCCATAACAAAATAAGAACATAAAATAGCAGAGGAAATGTATGAAGAAATAAAAAACAAACAAGGAAATAAAAAGACGCACCTTATACCTTTCTCTCTTTTGGTTACGAATGATGTCAGTTCCCTTCAAATTCTATGGTTATGGAACACCGGAGCACAATCGGTTTGTATAGATACACACGTATAGATACACGCGGAATCCGTATCCCAGTCAATGGATACGGTCAAATTAGAATTCGACACAAATTTGAAGTCTTGAACATGTTTGCCTTACTTCTTTTGAAACTTTGAAGATATTTTCCTGCAGATCTTCTTCTTTATATAATAAAGAAGCAAAGTGCCGACTGCCACCCATCAAATCTTCTTCTACTTCTTCATCAATTCTTCTTCTTCTTCTTCACCCATATATAAATAACGAAGCCCAGGTTCTTTAATTCATCTGGTGTGGTCGTGGTGGTGGCGGCATTGTTCCAAATTTTGGTTATGTTTCTCACACTTCTTTTTCTGATTTGTGTTCTGGTGCGGCCATCGGTATGTTCATGCTTCTCTCTCTGATCTGTGTTCTGGTCAACTCTTTTTTGACCTTATGTGACCAACACGTTACACATATATTATTATATTACATGTAACCAACACATATATTATTATATTTCATGTCTGAAACCCTGTCCTTAGCTATCACATGTGAACTTGTAGCTATCACATGTGCACTTGCAGTATCACATGTCAGCTATTACAAACTCAAAGGATTCACCCTCCCCCTAACGTGAAGAGCCATTTTATTTTGGAAAAAAAATTTGTAGTTGAGTAATTTAATAATATTATATTTCTTATGTTGAATTTATTTATATTGAGGAACATGAGTCATCCGGATAATAATACAAAAACTGGTTGCTGCAATGAAGAAATTGAAAGTGCATGCGAAGGAGACAATCAGTGAGAGTGGTAATAATGAAGACACAGGAGCTATTATATCAAATCAAGGGCACTCAATTATTGTTTTTCATGTAAAAGGAGGTGTGTAAGTACAAAAGGCGCCGGAAATGTCGAAAAAATATGGAAATTTCCATTTGCTGAGCCCCACGAGACAGAAAGTAGGAGTGAGGAGAGGGAATTGGTGCTTTAATCATAAAAACCAAAAGTTGGACGCCCGATGTACGCGTCTTGGCGAGTAAAAACAAAAGTAACCAGTTGGAGGGCCTGTGCACTAACCACTTGGTCTCCGAAAATCCCAACGTCTATATGATAAACGGTAGTGCTTCTCTCTCCGTTCAAAATCAACGGTTCAGATCTCAGGCAATTGAAAAGCAAAACGAATTCGTGAAAGTGACACAATTTAAATTGAATTCGGATATGAATCTGGTTGAAAATGAGACCCATTTACTTTTAATCGAAGAGGTGAAAACCTAAAAGACAATAGACATGTTCATACACAGTTTCGTTATTGTTTAATGCTACAATTTTATATGGATAAGTATGTAAGGCCATGCAGTGGCTAATCCAAGAATATTTCTTGAATTGGGTATTTGACCAAGTAATTGAAGCTGTTCTCTATAGCTAGCTTGGAAGGAGATGGCTGAGTCTTGAGACCACTTGGTGTACAGCTTGGATGGAAGGAGACACTTAATCAGCGAGAGGATGGTAATAATGAAGACACATGAGCTATTATATCAAATCAAAGGCACTCAATTATTGTTTTTACACCAACCAAACCCAAACTTTGTTAAAGCAACTTTGATAATGTAAAACGTGGTGTGTATGTCATTGTTAACTTATATATACACCTAAGCTAGTAAGCTGGCCTGCTTTGTTAAAGCAACTTTAATCAGTGGACTGATTCCAGATTCTCGTATCCCCCACAATTTCAATAACCTGCTTCCTACGGGTGTTTTTGCCATTTGGGCGACCTTAGCTCCCATTTCATTCCCTGTGAGATAATCGATGGGATCCCCCACGAACAGGATTAGAACGACAACTTTTAGTTGAGTGGGTGGGCACCGCATTCAACTTTTCTTTGCCTTTACTGTTTTTAATTTGTCCAGCGCAACTTGATGGCAGTGGATCCGGGGCCAAGATGGGATCACGCTTAATTAACGGTACAACATAAAACAAGACAACATGTATACTGATAATTGAAATTGATCATCAGTGGTGCAGTTTTCTTGTAGCCAGATTGGTATGGATCATCAGTGGTTCAGAAATTTTGAGATAGATGGTGCTCAGAGGATGTCTCTTTCCCTCACTTAGCAGGTAGTTTTAGCGAATAGTCCCTAAAAGTCTTACTGGACTTTTTCACTGATCAAAACATCCCATAGTTTCCAAAACACCTCAAATAAAGAATTGTTTTGGGGGTGCTTCGGTGGCTATGACAACAAATTTTTGGATAGTTTGAAGCAACTACCATAACATGCAAAACGTTTGGTTACAATCTCTCAAGAAATGTACTTCATCAGTTTGAGGGATCAACAAAAGAGATGTGTAAATGAGCAGAGTACCGGAAGAAATACCAAAATTTATGACTAGGTGCACGAACCAAATGCTAGGAGCACGCACTCGGTGCACGCATCAATCCCAATCACTGGGTGCACGCACCAAATGCAACTGAACACAGTAGAAAAAAAACAAAATTAACAAAAGAGGTACAGATGAAGTCTCCATTTGCAACACAAACCAATAGTAATTGGAATGCCCGAATGCCAATACTAGTTGGACTGAACAGGATCCGCTTTGGTTAGATTCTTCAATAAAACTATAAAAAAATAAAGCGATCGGTCCGATTCGGTCAAAAATCCCAACCTATTTTTTGTCAACAAAATTTCCAGCCCTAGTTGCTTTGGGGAAACTTTTTTTTGTTTGTTTTAAAAATAAGTAAATTTAGGTTTTAGCCACAAAAAACTTTCACTTTTGAAAAAAGTCAAAATTGTTCCAAAAAAAACCCCTCAACTTTCAAATTAAAGACATGCAAATGTAAAGGATTCCTTAGAAAATTCAAAAATAAATAAGGGCATTTTTGTCAATTTTGGCTTCTTTTAAAAATATTTCTCTCTCCTTTGGTCTTTTCCAAAATATACTGTTTAACAATTTCAGATAATCCCCATTTTACCTCCAAGTTAAACAACATATTCATATGATGCCATTAATGCACTTGAAATTTATGCATTTTGCTAGTTTAGTCTAATCCTTCCTATCAAACAAGCCTTATAATGTATATCTCCAAAAAAATTTCTATCAATATCCATCCAAATCGTTGTACGCAAGTATCATGTTGTGTTTAGTCACTTTCTGATGGCAACTTTGTCATTGTATAAATGAAGCATAAATTAATTGATTAAATGAAACTAGAAAATAAGAAATGTTAAAAAAGCAAAAGAAAAATATCCCTAGCCTAGCCTAGCCCCTTCCGTCCTCTCTGTTACTTTGTTTGGGGTGTTCTTCGTGATTTGGATGTCCTTCATTATAAGGCTTTCTGGTTCATCCAATCCCACTTAACCACTAATTAAACTCTCATTACGTTGCTATATGAACCAACGTATCTGACCACGTGAGGGAGGAGATTTAATGGGTTATGGTGTCTTAATTAAAAAATAAATAATAAAAAGAGTCATAAAGATAGAATATTAGACTCATTAACTGATGTTGTATAAATAAATCGGAATTAAGGTATTGATACTGAAACGATAAGCTACCAGGGCTCATATTTTGTTATTCTGCTTACAAGGATGCTGAACTTGAAGAGTCAGCTGGACAGGCAAGATATATGCAGCTTTTTATTGCGCATTCTATTGCTGAAATTGTTGCTATGACGGTTAGATATAATCATGAGTTGTTTGTTGTCTGTGCAGACAATCTTTGATTTGGAAACAAACTCGGACCTGAAAAGTGAACTGAATAATCTATATTGATTTGGAAACAAACTGTTGCCGATTGTATGATTAATATTCCTCCTTTCTCCAGTCAAGTTGATGTGGCTGGGAACCGGAAGGCGGTTGTTATCCGCATACCATATAGACTTAGGAAGGCTTATCGCAAGATCCATGTTCGGATTGTGAGGGAGCTAGAGAAGAATTCAATGGAAAGGTGATTATTTAGTTCTTTGGTTCTCTGCCATTTATGAAATCTAGATTTAACCCAGACTAGGTTTTCTTCGTGATGTTTTTCTGCACTTGTTTCTAGGCACTATATTTTGTTGGAAAATTAATATTAACTAAAATTGATTTTCCTATTTGAATGGAAATTAATAAATCCATTGGGTTAAAGACATGACCCTTGGGTTAAAGACACCTTCACATGGGGAGTAACAACTCTTCAAACTAAGGGATGCATTGTTTGGGGTGACAACTCTTCAGACCAAGGGATGCATTGTTTGCCTTTTCAGAATGAGATACCTTTTTAGAAAGGGTATTTCATCATCTATAAATAGAGCAATCCTCCTGCAGTTTTATTCATTCAGTTTAATTCTCTACATACAGACTTTCACATATAGAAAGCATTAGAGTTTTCATAAAGAGAGGTTCCTGCATAATTTGGTTCAAAGTTCCTTGTGAATTGTAGTGCTTCTTTCACAAGGAGGGAGTCGTTGTATCCTGGGAAGCGAACGCTAGTGAACCATAAGCACCAATGTGGGGCGTAATTCGTCTTAAGGTCAGAGTGTCCAACACTTGCCTCGACTCAATTAAGGTTCTTCTAATTCAATTCTCCTTTTGTAAAAATCTGTTTTATGTGCAGTATTTATTTTGTTTATTTTATAGCAATTTAGCACTCTTTTTCCAACATATTTTGTGCCTTCAATCAAGGACATTTTGTGCATGGGTTGTCGGGTAGGATTTTGTTTGTTAAGTACCATAATTATCTATCTTCAATGCCGGGCAGGTTTTCTTGGATCCCAAGGAACGAAACAACACGGAGTACAAGCTGGAGAGCTTTTCTGCAGTTTACAGGAGGCTTTCAGGAAAAGATGTTGTGTTTGAGTACCCAATAACCGATGCATAGAAATATTGTGCAATAGCGCCTTCCAAATACCCGTCCCTTTTCTTTATATTTTCTAAGAACTTCTGCTCATCAGGCATGGTGTGGCGTACCTTTGGAAGGATTTTGGTCTCTTCAATATTAGCATATTTAAGTTTTGTTTTCTCTGCACATTTAAGACAGGTTTGCTTGTAGTCTGGTGATTTTGTTTTGTTTATTTAAGTCTATTGACCTATGTTTCTTAATGAACATGCACTGGAAACTAACGAAGTTTCTATGAAGTAATTATGGTTATTTGTAATACAACCTCAGTATGTTTGATGCAGCATATTATGCCATGGCTTTCTTAACTTCGCTAACTTGCCAAAGTTTAGTTACAATCTCTCAAGAAAATATCGTAGAGATAAACTTCGTCAGTTTGAGGGATCAACAAAAGAGACATGTAAAAGAACAGAGAACTGGAGAAATGCCAAGCTTTATGAATTTGATTACAATTTATTGAATTGTAGAAATCACAGAGTAAGCATTTCCCAAACACTTGGTGCAACTGAACACAGCAGGAAAAAAACATTCAACAAAAGAGTTCACAAATGAAGCCTCCATTTGCAACCAGCACAATAGCAGAGCTGAGAGACATAAACAAATCCCTAAAGCCAAAAGTAGAGACTAGAGAGGTCCCAAAACCAACAGAGCTCCGTATAAATCACACTCGTATCACAAAGCAGTTACAGACATGCCAACACATGCCAATAGGAATTGGAATGCCTGAATGCCAACACAAATCACACAACCATTTCCAAATTCTTCAGCCTGTGCCTTGAGGCGGCCGCTTGCAAGCTTGTATCAAACAATAAACATTGATCAGATCGGCAAGGGCAGGAACAGCTGGGTGAGGGTGGAACAGAGATAATTATCAGAACAAGTAAAAATGTATTTATTGAATGGTACCAGTATATACTTACTATTTAGGACCTGATGTGGTGCAGACTATGGAATACGGAGTCTTGCAGCATCAACTTGTATGGGCAATCAGCTGCTTCCCCTCTGGAAATATATTGTTGAGCATTATAACGAAACAATCACCAAACATTTTATTAATATGAATGACAACTTACCGTTTCATTGCCATCAATCTTCTTTTTCTTTTCTTCTTCCACTTACTTAGTATTTGTAGTCTTTCTGGTCTTGAACTGCTTTGGATCAGGCCCATCAAGCGAAATCTTCAACTCAATTAAGCATTTCTCAACATTAAGGAGTTTAATGATAGGACCTTGATAGTGCAATTTCCTGATGAACAAAAGCCTTGCGGACTGGTAAATCAGAAAGTACCAAATGTTGCAAGGAACTGAAAGCAATCTCGTAATAATTTCCAGAATCTTCTTCATCTCCTTTGCATGCCACTATTTCTGTGATGCTTTCACAAGACTGAACTTCCAAGGTTTCGAGTTGGTGTAAACATTTAGCTACCGAGTAATTTACTAAGTATTTCAGTCCCATACAGCCGTCCACGTGTAAAGTGGTTAGATTGTAAAAGGATATTGCGGATGAAGTTAGATTCTTTAATTGCCACAATCGTACACCTCTAGAATTCCAAGTTTGGAAAAATTGATTCGGAGTTGTCATTCCCTAGATGCATCAGCTCCTCCATCTTTGTGAGAGACAAATTCTTTATGTGTGGGAGGGTCGTCCCAACTGCATCTATTTCCCCGCTACTAGTTCCTTCATACACAAATATTTCTTTCCAAGGACCACCATAAACATCTAGCTTTTCAAGATTATGTAATTTTCGGAGTAAATGAAATGACTGGGGGAGTGCACAAGAAAATGCAATCGCTTTTAGATTAATAAACAACTCTGCTGGGAGTGGACCATGCGCTTCATACCAGATCTCTGTGTTCTCGTCCAAGGACAACGTTTCCAAGTTAGGGAATGGATTACCCTGAAATAATATCCTCTGGATGTCATTGTCAACCCACTTGACCAGTTGCATAAACTAATATTATATTCAATGGCATTCACTTGGTCACCAAGGGCCAGGACACTGTGATCACCTACCGTTTGATCTCATTCAAAGGCAAATAATGATTCAAGCCTTAATTAAATTAAAAGAACATTTTAATGATTTAAAAACCTCAAATGTGGCCTCTATTCTCCTCTGAAGCAAAAACTGTTCTCATTGAACCTCCCAGTCCCTCAGTCTCTTGTCAATTTCTAGTTTTGATTTTTGTGATTTTTTTGGGTTTTTGTTTCTTGGCTAAATTCAATGTTATTCATTTTCTTTATATATTCTTTTCGGTGATTTCATGTACTCTACAGGGGAATGAATCCTTGACAAAGGAAATCAGAAAAATTTAAAGCCTGAATTCATAAGAGAGAATCCTACACAGAAAAGAGAGGAGGCATTTCAGGAGAGTGATAGGGGAAAAACGTGAGACAATGAGAGGAAGCATAAATTTTTGTTGTTGGTATAATGAAATTTCGGGCAGTATGTTCTAAATAATTAAATTATTTTTTAAATGAATTAAGGCTTGAATCATTATTTACCGCCTAACTTTCGCAAGTCTCTTCTCTCTATTTAAATTTTATAGTCTTTATTATGTTGTACACATGTCTTCAGTAAATTACCACTCCCTTTACCTCCTCGACTATTGCTTTTAAATTTTTGACAAGGTGGAGGCCAAAAAATCATTTTAAATAAAAGAAAATCTCAAATCTTATAATAAAAAATTGTAAAGAAAATATATGAAGATGAATTTGCTACATGAGCGAATAGTGCAAGAGAATTATGTACCTGTCAACTAACAACAAAGGTTGTTTGATTGGATTACCCGAATCAAGTCTTTCTTGGAATCTGAATATTCGGAAGCAAAAATCTCCACTTTACCACATTCAAGGCCATGCCTATATTTGAGTAATGGCCACTCGGAAACATGCAGCCCCAGATAGAAACTCCTCAGTTGGGGCAGATTTTCAAATGTCAGAGATGTTACTTTAGGAAACACAAACTCCTCAATTGGTGTCGTTTCTACTCCTTCCTTGACAACAATTTCCTCCAATATTTCACAGTCCACACATTCCAACTCCCTTAACTGCTGAAGACCTTTTGCCACTGATGCTGGAAAGATATTTTTCAAACTCTCACAAGAATTTATTTGTACATAATCCCAGATTTGGGCACCCAAAAGTTTTCAATTGATTCCTCAATGTGCCGTATGCTTCTTCAACACCAAGTACTACTCCCACGTCAAATACCACTTGTAGTGACTTGCACTGGCATGTCACTAATGTGTATAGAGTATTCAATCTTCCCATCATACTTGGCGCAAAGATATTTATTAGACTGTCGCATCCCGAAACTCGAACACTTTTGAGCTTTCGAAAAAGAGCCGGGGCAAGTTGGCAGTGCCCATATAGTCCCTCAATTTAGGCATGTCATAGATCATCACGCTCTCCAAGCTAGGACTCCTACCTGTAGATGGGGCATATTCATCATATGAACTTGTCAATAAACCTTTTTCTTTCACGTTAATTGGAAACAATGCTGAAAGGAAAGAAATAAAAGTATATTCACCTTTTCATCCAAAAGAAAGTATTGTACATCAGTCTCTTCAGTTTGTTTACCCACTGTAACGTTTTCACTCTTTGAATGAAAGATGAATACCCCCAGTTCACTACAATCTTCTAGATGCAACAGCTCTAAGGATGGAAATTCCACATAACTTCCAGAGCAGAACCTAGTGAGGCTCGGAAGATATTGGCAGCTGTAGATGTTTAGCTTGGGAAATATGTCATTTGTATTTTCCTCACTGCTACCAATTTTCGTTACTATCTCTTCCATGATTTGACAGCTAGCTATCCCAAGATGTCTGAGTTGGACAAGACTTCTAGCCATGGAAAATGAAAACAGAATCTTAAACCATCACATTGATGCATGATCAAGGTGTTAAGTGGGCAACATACCTGTATGTATACACATGTTTAATCAGGGCATGCATGGTATATTAATTCATGTTTTAATTAGGAAATGACAATTTACTTGCTCTCAATTGTGTAGATTCCAAAATGAGTAGACAAAAAATGGAGGTAAAAATGACATAAATAGTACAGAGAGAGAGTGGAGTAAAAATGTATCTGAAAAAGAAAAGTTAAGTGCTACCGATAACACATTTTTTATTGAAGATCATGCTTGCGTCATAATATGAATCATGAATATTGTACACTAATTAAAAGTTTAGTACCTTTTCTTCTCAATAATAAATTAATATACCGTTTAAATGAATTGTAACTTGGATTAATTTCAATCCTAGCAAAGAAACAAAATGCATGAAAGAATAACGAGAAATAAACGCTGAAAGATAAATGAGAAACAAAGGCATTACTTACCTTTTCGTCAAAAAGAAAGTATTGTGCATCAGTCCTAATATTCTCTATGGGGTCCCTGATCTCTTCAGTTGCTTTGTTGATTGTGCTAATTGTACTCATGGGATCAAAGAGAATGTCTCCCAATTTAGAAACAATCCTTTAGATACAACATCTTCAAGGATGAAAATTATAGAACGACGTGCTGAGCAAAATCTGGTGAGGTTCGGAAGATATTCTAGCTTTAGATCTTGTAGCTGACTAAACATGTTATGATCTGTATCTTCCTCACTGGATTCGTATGTTGGTACTCTCTCTTCCATGATTTGACAATTGGATATTGTAAGATTTTTGAGTTGTACAAGACTTCTAGCCATGGAAGATGAAAACAGAATCTCAAACCACCACATCCATCGACGACCAAGCTTGTTAAGTTGGGGATCAGAACCTGCACACCAGAATTCATGTTTAGTAATACAACTTAATTACATTTTAAGTAGTTGAATCTCATACAAATAAAAATATATAAATGGATTAGGACAACATAATCCCTGCAGAAAGAATATGCATTATTTAAATGAATTGTAACTTGGATATAATTTCAATCCTACTACTACATAATCCTGCAGAAAGAATATGCATCTTTTTCTAATTTGAGTGGATTATTTTCTTCCTGCAGAAAGAATGATCAAAATGAAAAATATACAAAAGCAACTTTATTGTTAAGAAATAAATATATAGAACAATCCGGATGATATGTAGAAAGGTCGGGCAAATGAAACCGCAAAACGTACCTCCCCTTTCATGAAAAGTTTCGTGGGTCCACTAATTTCATTCTCCGAAATGATTTCTTCGGCCTTTGTAGTTACAGCCCTGCTGCCTTTGGAGGAGAAACCAATAAGCTTTGGCAGATTCCGCAAAGTCAAAGATCGTAGCTTTCGAAAAGGCTGAGCTATGAGTTGGCCACAACATACAGTTTCCAAATCACAAGGTTGTAAAGAGATAGTGACTCAAGATGGGGAAGGCATGACTCGAGTTAATGAGAGATGTAACTTCATCAGTGTTTTGGACATGGAGATTTTTTAGTTGTTCACCACTGTCACTTGCTAATATATAGGAAATAATATTTGCAGCCTTCATCCCATCCAAGTCCAAATCTTCACATATCTTTAGCAGCAATTTTATACCTTGGCCGAATTGACTGGTCGTAGTGAGCTTGAGTTTTAACATGTTAGAGGAGTTCCGTAAATTATAGGATATGTAAGCCAACAATCACCAATAAGTATGGTGTAACTTTCTAACCTTGTATCCGAGACATGTTTGCTGGAAGAAGCTAGCATTGGAATATATATCTCTAATGCAGTTAGTAGATGCAATTGTTTCAGCTCTGACACGCCCGCATTACTTCCTCCATCATTTAAACTCCTTCCCATTCCTTAAAACTTTCCATTCTCAAGTCTTCTAGACTTGTCAAGCTTGATATATAACACCAGGTGAGATCAATACAGTTCAGAGCAATAACGCAAATCCAACAATTGTAGACGAGTCAATTGCCCTATTTCTTTGGGCAACTCTTTCACCTTAGAATTTTTAAAGGCTAGAAATTTTCAAGTTTGTTAGCTGTCCAACTAGAGCTATGTCCACCAAACACAATGATCTAAACACAAAAGTTTGAAGATTTGTTAGGGATGAAGAGATGGAGGCAGTGACGGAATTCGCAGTCTGGTTACATCCAACACTTTGAGTTCCTCATCCCTTCAAAATAGTTGCCTGGATTTCCAAGGAGTCATCAACATTATGATTTGCCAAAAGAAAAATCTCAATTTGGGCATACCCAAGGTACTTCAGAGAGTCTGGGGAATCTTGCAAAATTTTAAGGAGATTGCAGTGTATTTTTTAAGGGAATCCCTATCTGGCCATTCTTTCACCTCATTCCATATGCTTGAAATGCGTGTTTATCTTTAGATGCAATCCAGAGCAACATCTCGTACGAGCTCATGCATTCTAACTTTTCTATCATCATAACTGTCTAGCAACAAACAAGAATCTTTAAGTTTTTAGCCAGTGAATGCAAAGCATTTGTGCCTCTTCCACCGTATCAACATTTTAACCAAACCTAAACCCATGTCATATTTCAACAAAGTCACTGAGAAGAATTGAACAACTACCCCCTGCAATAACTCCACAGAGCAAGAATAATGGTTGAAGTCCTCCCTGTCCAATCGATTGTAACTCCATTCTATAGCCAAGTATGCTTTTCTGTCAATCCCTTTGGTCAAAACTTTTGAAGCGCCTCAAGGCATCTTCCATACCTCTAAAGTAGTACATTGATCTTAGAGCACTTGCAACTGCAACAACTAAAACCGGCAAACCTCCACATTTTTTGGATATTTGAGTTGCTACCTTTTTAATAGGGTCGTCTTTAACCAACTTCACCTGCCATCTTCTCAAATAAACCCACCTTTCTTTCTCGCTAAAACATCAAGCCGAAACACTGTTTGTGTACGCATCTCAGAGACTAGATCTCTAGACGTCAACAATATTTTACAAGTCGCCATTGGGCGAATTCCCAAATCCTCCAAATTAAGTGCTTCAGACATCATCTAAAATTACAAGACTCTTCTTGTCTTTTATCCTATTCCAGAGATGTTTTGCCCTTGCTTCCATATCCTGACTTTCCTGAACATCCATATCTAACTTTTCAGCAATTTTCTTCTGAATTCTTTCCTTTTTTTCATCTTCTGGAAACTGCTTTAACATCCAAAACTAAAACAACATCATCAATAATTTCTCTGTTTTAGCTTGTCTATAAACTTCCTGGACGAGTGTGACTTCCCCACCCCACATTCCGTACACGCAACCAAGTTGGTAAAGGATTTCTCAATTCCGCCATGATTTGTGTCACCATTGAATCCTTGATTCGAAGGCCATGTAGTCTTCGGAGGGTGTGTCAAATATCTCTTTCTAGGCGAGCATTGTAAGAAACACTGGAAACTCTACTTTTTCATTTAGTTCAATTTTTTTTGCCAATTTTGCTGATTTCCTACTAAGCTGATGATAGGAACCAGATGGACATACTCTACAGAAACACTTTGTCTTTGCATGATCTTCATCGTCCAATAATTTATTTGCCTCTTGAATCATCTTATGAGCTTGTGCCTGCCATTTCTGGACGTCGGTATGAACTTTTTTACCTTTTCCTTTCCGTCTCATCAAACCATATGCTTCATCCTGTCTTTGGCCGCATCTAAGTTCTCCAATTTTCTCCTCAGATTTTCCAAAGTTCTTTTGTAGTGAATTAGATAACCCACTGCCGCCCAACAGGTTCAACTGTGGACTCGTTATTATAGAAATAATTGAGGTCAAGATGTCCATGCTTCTTATTTTTTGCTTTGGAATTCCAGACTCCTCTTGTATATCTGTTGAACATAAACGAACCCAGAAACAAGAAAATGAAAATGAAAATGAATTTATTATATATATATAAAAAAAAGGCTATTACTAGTGTAAACTTTTGGGTGTAAAGTGAAAGCGAAAAAGTTTAATATAAAATAATAATTAAATTGTCAACGTTTGTGTCTCGAGTTTGTTTATGGACCTTAATCTAAACAAGTAACTAGAAAATAAATAATTTTTCAAATTTTCAAAATGCTAAATCCAATTTCATCAAAAAAAGAAAAGAAGTAAGTTAAAATTCAAAAACAGTATTTGATTTAAACAAATTTAACTTAAAAAATCAGGATACAACTCTAATTTTTAAAATGGATGTCCAATTTCAGAAAATAGTTTTTGAATTACAATCCAAAACAAGGAAATTTCTCACAGAAATACTAAGCAAGAAAATCTTTCCGCCAATTATAAATGCAATTAAATTCAAAGATTCTTGGGAAATTCTGAGAGGAAAAGAAATAGTTGGGCCACAGTTTTCCTTTAAATTTGTTTATTTTCTTTGTTTCTTTAATCGAAAAAAAAATTAGTTGGATTTACTTCTGAAATAATTAAATTCAATAAAGCTATATAACAAACTAAAAACATAATAGCATAGGACAATTAAGGAAATAAAAAGATGAACATTAATACCTTTTCTCTTTTGGTTACGAATGATATCAGTTCCCTTCAAAATGCTTATAGAACACGACAGCACAATCGGCCTAATGATGAGACAAAGCTGAACTGCTACTACTTTTTTTTTTCTTTTTCTTTTTTCTTTGAAAGTAAAAGCAAAACAGAGGTGATAAAACAGAATGAAATCAAGGGTATAATGAATAAGGTTCTTTGGGAACAATGGCAAAGGAAAAGCGAAACGAATTGGAAAAAATGACACATGAAATCAAGGGACAAACGAAAACCAGGAAATCTGAAGGCAGTACTCTTTTTTTTTGGTTTTTTGATTGGATTTTTAATTTGGAAGTAAAGCAAAAGAAATCTAAGCAGAAGCTGGTTGCTGCAATGAAGAAACTGAAGGTGCGCAGGAGACTTAATCAGAAAAAGCAGTTGCTGCAATGAAGAAACTGAATGTGCACAGGAGACACTTTAATCAGTGAGGGATGGCTCTCGCACATGAACACAAAGAAACAAAGCGTCCAACTGTCTTTCAATATTATTGTTGTTTGGCTCTCGCACTCAATTATTGTTTTTCATTAAACCCACACTGTGTTATATTAAATGTAATTGCGCTTCAATCTTAGTTCATTCAGCTAACAAGAATGGTAATTTGTGATTAAATTTGGTAATGTCAAGCTGGCAACATGGCATAAATTGGATGATGTCATATGTGTCGTCATCCATAAAAGAAGGCATGATGTCATGGTCATGTGAAGAAGAATAAAGAGAGCTATGTGGAACCAATTATTCATGAGGGGAGTTAGATTGAGGAGAATTAGATTTCAGATTCTTAATAAAGTTGTTTACTAAACCATATGGATTGAGGGGAGTTAGATTCCGAATTCCTATTGAAGTTGTTTACTAAACTATATGGAATGGGGGTTTAAGTAGTATTATTTACTAAAATGTCCACAATTTTGAGTTAAAATAGATGGCATATTTGGAATTTTGAAAATTGTGTGAGGATATAATAGGTAAAAAAGATGAATTCCTAATGGGTGAATTATCCAGGAATTAGAATACCACCTTCCATTTCGAAATTGAATTCCTCCAAAATCAGGAATTGAATTCCTAATTTTATGTGGGCCCTGCTTACTTTTTCAATTCCTTGATGCAAGTAAACACATGAATCTCAAAAGTGGAATTCAATTCTGATGAGAATTTCAATTCTTGATTAGTAAAACACACTATTAATTCTTAATATGTTTCTATATAGAATCCAATGAAAATTTTCAACTTATACAAAATAATTTTAATTGCATAAATGTATAAATAAAATGGTATTATTTAATGAGTACTGCTATTTGAACTAACTTTATCCGACCACATTTAGCCAAATGTGGCATAAATTCTTATTAAGTCATCATCACATTGGAAGTCGAGCTGGGTTTTTTTGGCCCCAAGGCAACCTTTATTTGTTTTTGTGTAATGGTTCATGTGATGAACTGATCGACATGGTAATATAACTACTGTAATGTGGGGCCCAAAGCTGCTCTACGAATTGCGAAGAAGATTACAAGCAAATTCTTAGAGCATGGCCTCTTTGGGGTACATATAAGAGGGTGTATATCACATTTACACTCTTTTTGGACGAAAATATATGCAGTGGGTGTGTGTATATGGGTGTAAAAATAAGGGAAATAGCCCTCAATGCCACCCATTTTTAAGTTTTAAGTGGAAATATCAGCCCTCTCCAAAAATTTTGCAAATACCACCTATAAATATAAATGTATTGACCAGTTATTTCTCTCCTAACACTTTTTCTGAAATTTACCTCCCGCCAATCAGCTCCCTCTTGGCTCCGTCGCTCAGTCTCTTCAGGTCACTCTGCTTTGAGACTCTCTCATCTCTCGTCGCTCAGCTGTCACTCTCTCTTCGCTCTTCCTCTCCCAGCGGAATTTGGTTCATCGAAGAGCAACGCCATCGTTCACCTCAATAGGTACTGTTCTTTGAATTTTCTTACGGCTTAGGTTTATGGGTTTGTATGAAATTGGTTGACAGGTTGTTTGAATTGGTTTAGGGTTTGTGGGTTTTCTCTTTTTTGTTTAAATTGGTTTATTGGTTCTCTGAAATGGGTATAGGGTTTAGGGGTTTCACTAAAATTGGTTTGTTGCTTTTACTCTGTTGCTACCTTTAGGGCTTGCATTGGTATGGATAAGTCTCTTTGGTTTTCCATATTCTCGTGTGATTATTGTGGAATTTCAGCTTGGGGATGAATATTCCAATGTCTAACCAAGGGCAAAGAACCATATGTGGGTAATATGAGTTCTTTAAAAGTTTGTGTTTGTGCTTGATATTGTATCTTTACAACCACAAGCGGGAAAATGAGTGGAGATGGAACAAATGACAGCCGGTGGTGGTTTGGAGAGGGGGTCATGGGATTTTGCTATAAGTAACAAATCTTAAGTTTTTTTATATGCTGCTTTTTTTTTTTTTTTGTTTTTTGGGATGGATACTTAGAGACCTCTGGTTATGAGGTGAACACTTTTAATTGTAATTGGTACATAACACACATTTTTTTTTACAGTTTTGATGGTTTATTTTATTCTTTACTTTGATATTGATCCCGCAGACAATATACCAACCTCTTATTTTGTCAGAAAAAACGGAAGGGATGGTGCCATTTTCATTTAATTTCCTTTACATTTGAAAGGAGGGCAGGGCCATTGGAAGTCTGATTGTGGGTGCCACTAATTGATATAGGTGTTCCATCACATTATAGTGAAGTAAAAAATTGTTTCCTCCTGTGCTTATGTTTGAATTGTTTGACTTAGGCTTCTGGCGACCGCACATTCCGATTTGTAGCTTAAGCTGTATGATTATCTGGGGTCTGTAGGATGTGTCTTTAGATATTTAGTTAATTGTCAATGATCTGTAAGGGACAGATTAAATCCCTTGTGAGACGAATTGGAGTGCGAACAAGTAATTTGAAGGACACATGGAAAACAGAGTGAGAGACAAGTAGTTTCACACATTTGTGAGGAAGCCTTGTGAAGAGAAAATATAAGAGAAGGAGTGGGAAAATAATAAGAGCACGGCTTGTGGACAAAATATAAGAGAAAGCAAGGTAAAATATAAGAGCAAGACTTGTGGAGAGAAAATATAAGGCTTGAAGGAAGATGAAAAATGTATTTTTTTCTGTCAGGGGACATTGGGTGAACATTACATGCAATGCATATAAGGTTCTATTGGGCCTGTATTGTTGGTTGTCACTGATATAGCTCGTGCCTTTGCTTTGTTATGCATCTGTATTACGTGTTTTTGTGCTTGTTATGGTGTAAATTTCAAACGGCTGAAATTTTTTGTCATATGGTGCTGTGCAGGGAATATGGTTTTGAAAGCAAAGTTGTGATTGTGCGGATGAAAAATTCCAGGGAAAGGCGTTGACCCTTTCCCTACAAAGACGATGATCAGTACAAATTAAGGACAAATGAGGTCCGTAACTGGTACAAAGGTTCAAAGACAGTTGTTTTGGGCATTCTACTAATTGAGGACCTTAAGTGAGCGCACAAATTCTCCACGGCTTGTTGTGGAAAGGCTGACCCGAAGACAGTTTCTCAAGTCAATGGATCAAATTCATCGTTGGCAAGAAGTCATACAATTCACGACGTAGTAGTTTGCGTCATCACAAGGCTGCAGTTTGAAACCTTCCTTCTATTCCGCCTGCAACTAATGACAACCTGCTTTGAGAAGAAGTACTTCTGCAAACAATAAAATGTCAGCTTTGAATCGAAAAAAGCCCTCAGAATTGCGTGATGAGGAGGAGGTCTTCAAGCTGACCTTTTATATTTCCGTGTGTTTGTGCTGCGGTTGGGCAGTAGATGAAAAACTAGTCCACCAGGGAACATGCGCTATTTGAAATTGGGAAGACGACGTGAAGCGTCCTGAGTATCCAGGGGTGCGGTTTCATATTGCGACGACAAATGCCGCACTTTTTTGGGGCACTTGTGCCGCGTACCAGCGAGTAACCGGCCCAGCAAGACTAAAAACAAAAAAAGTCAGGGAAAGAAGAATCAAAGACAACGCCCGTGTAGACCAGGGAGTTACCAAACATAAAACGGTTTTGGCTTTGCAATTCAGCGTGGCCTGATGCATTAATGTAAGTCCCATTTACGTGGGTTGACAGGATGATCTGTATTGTTCAAAACGATAGGCGCGTTTGAGGTGTTTCCAGCATTGATGACTGCATTTCGTTGTGCGCCAGAGAAGGCGACGTCCATCGTTACTATAATGGACGGATCAATGTCGGCTCGTTTTCCTGAGGCTAATGC